TCATGGGGCCTTTTGTTCTTGCAGCACAAACTGCAGGAGTGAGGAGACTGTGTTTTACAATAGGCAGGTGTGTAGACTCCTTTCTAAATGGCAGTCTAAATTAGAAATTTCCTGCAGTCCTATCTCAGTAAGAGGCAGAAGTAATTACATTTTTCTATCTTTCATTATTTGGCTACATGCTTTCTCATAGTTCTTTATAAATCTGAGAAATGGGTTGTCAAAAATACACTCTTTATTAAATAAATGCTAATGTGTCATGAGGACAAGATGCGATTTCCACTAAATTGTTATTTTCTTCTGCCATCAGTGACAGCAACATTTTTAAAGATTAAATGATTTTTCTTCCTCTTCCTCCACCAGATGTGTCAAGTAGACACACACACACACACACACACTAAGACACAAATGACACACATACAAGTGGCTCTCAAGATGTGATAGGCCAACCGACTGGGAGGTGGCACTGATGCTGTTCTCTCCACTGCTCTCCATTTCCTCAAGTCAGTGTTTGTTTGAGAGAGAACTCATAAATAACTGTCACTTTTTCTCGCCACTCGAGTTGTTTCAAACTACTTTAAAAAGATAGACAGCGACTGGAGCTTTCTCCACCATTCACTGTGTATATGTGCATGGCTCTGCGTGCATGTCTGAGCTTGCTCATTTGATAAAAAGTTAGTATTCTGTTAATCCCATCAACATACAGTCACACTCAAACATACATCTCAATGCTTTCCTTCAACCAATCATTGCGCCTCTACCTTGATTTCATTTTTGTTCCTTTATTTCTTTTCCTTATAGCCTCCTCCTCTTCCTCTTTCTTCTCCACCTTGCAAACACTATCTTCATTATCCCGAGCTTCTCAATTATCTGGCCTAATGTATGCACCACTCAGATTAGTTTGCAAATTTAATTAATTCTTATCAAGGAGACTGCATAGCAGATGCTGGGGCAGTTAGCACTTAATCGAAAACAAGAGGGCAGCAATATTAACGTTTTAATTCCACAGGGATTTGGAGAGTCCCTGAGATGTGTTATTTCTGTCTGCTTTTTCACACTTCAGATCTTATTTTTCAAAAGCACTGCAGTCTCTCAACCTGAACCAGGCCAGAAAATCCGTGTCTAGTTTTAATTAAAAGCAAGAGCCGCTGCAACTGCATCAGGCAGCTTATCTGGCTGCGGAGATAGAGGTGACATATACATATAAACACAAACACTAGAGGTGAGATCTTGGGAGTGAGATTTGTTACTCACCCTGCTTGTTTTGAAGGTGCTTTAGAGCTGGGGAGAGCGGGATGCTTGTGGTACCTGTATGAAAAACAACTGCAATTAAAAGAGCTTTTCTGCTGGTGAAAATGCAGCACAGTATTTTGCCGACAGCAGCAGCATCTTTCCTCCGCAGGGTATTGGAGTATGACTGCAACATAATAGTGCTGGGACTTGGGTGGAACAAGAGCTGAGCCAGATAACTCCTGGGATGGGCTTTGTCTAACATGCAGTACACAAGATGGCCCATGCAATGCAACGTTCCCACCTGCTTTCCATTTTGCTACACACTAAGCCAAAAATAATAGCAATGGCCTAAATTTCTTTGTCTGTATATCTAAATGGTTGTATTTGAGTCATTGGTGTACTGTGCATGAGGCTAGAAAACAATTGCAATTAAAAAAAGAGGTATAAAAACCAGAGAGTGTGTGTTTCTCAGTACAATGGAGACAAGTTAAGCTCCAAGCTGTGCTGCGCTGCTGCGGCCTGCCTTGAGCCAGGTGACTGCATTTTCACTGCAGCTTTAACTGCAGTGGCCTTTCATAGTGGTGACAGATGGAGGGCATTTAACCATAATGACACAGAGGCCCTCCAGCCCTCTGGCCTGATGGACCTACGGCTGTAAGGCCTCATTTTCCGTCTACCTCAGTAGTCAGGGTGAGGGCCATGAAGACTGATGATGGTGATTGTGTGCGTGTTTTGTTAGTCTATGTGGGGTCAGTCGTGAAGACCACCGAGAGAGGGAGGAGAAGGCTCTTACCAGCTTTCCTCCAGATTTCTTCTGGCAGGTATCCTGAGGGAGGTCTGTGTAAGAAGTCTCGATGAATCTCTGAAAAACACATGCAGCCGCGCATTAAGTCTCATTTATTCACACACAGTGACAGACACTTGATTTGCACAAACACACATATGCAAGTCTCCCCTATATTTTCCAATTTTGTTTTTGTAACCAATAAAACCTATGTGCGTGGCAACATCAGTAAATAAGCTCATCAACTTTTTCAACCATTTCCTGGAAGGAATGGGAATACCAGAGTTAGAAATGAATACAAATCTTAATTATGAATGAGCATGCTGACAACATGAGGGTGCAATCAGTTAGTTAAAGATCTGAAAAATATCATCATCTAACTGGCTTTTTGCGTCTAAATTGATATATTAAGACATGTTCAGTGCTTCAAATAAGCCCTACCTTGCTGTGAGTGTTTTGCTTTGCCAAACATACCCTGCGTGTGTTTGTCTACCTGTCTGTCTGCCTGTCTGCCTTTCAGCAGCCGAGGAAGTTCCTATGGGCAGTGACTCGCTGCTGCTAGCTGTGTTGGAGGAGGAGTTGTGGTGAGGAGTAGAAGGAGGAAGAGGAGGAGGAGGAGGAGGAAGGCAATGCTGTCCGTTGCTCCCACCTTTTTTCATCTCCTCCACGTCGCTGTAGCGCCGAATCCAGTGATTCATCTCCTCCCGATCAGCCTCCTGGCAGCGGCGCAACACTGTCAGAGAGCGGCGTGTCTTCTCCACCATGTCCATAATGCAGTTCAGGAGCTACAACGGGACAGGATTGAAAGTAAGTTGAAATAATGACTTTTAATTTTGGAAGTTTGCAAGTCCTCTATATATTTGAATGAAAATCCTTTCCTCCCAGACAAATGCCCAGGTCCCCCCAAAACCTATGAAAAACAACTTAAACTTCTATCATCTAGATAAAATACAAGACTGCTAGTTTTTAAAATGAACTAAACTCCATAAAAACTCCACAAGTAGAAGCAAAACCTATTCAAAACTTTGGGCGTCACTGAGCTATAAATCTACCCACTATTTTAATGTGTCCCAAAACGCATATCTACCTAGCAGACGTTTTTGTGTGCAAGTGTGTGTTACTGTCTCTGCCTATCTGTTCACTGATTGTGTTTGTCCGTGAATTTCACTGTTTAAGAGCAATACAACAGCAGTAATGTAACAGCTGGGCCGCTGATGAAAAAGTTGAGCCAATTCCGTCCACCCTTCTGCTCCATTCCCTGCCAACTCAACAGATTTCCTCTCTTCTATCTCCTGTTTTTCCAGTGTCATAACAGTGTCACTTTTTTCCACAGTGCCCTGTTTTACCATACCAGACCTGGCCTGTTAAATGGGTTGAGCACGGTTGACATTCAATCCATATCATTATTCCCATTCAGCTTCCCTTCTGTTTGTCGCTACCTCTTTTTCCTCTGTCTCTCCACCCACTCCCTCCCCTCTGAGTTAGCTATATTTATTTTAGTGAAGTGTTTCTAATTTGGCAGGGGTCCAGGCCTGGCCGGTTCTCTCCATGACTGCAGCTCTTGTCTCAGCTGCTCTCCCCAGCTGGAGCTGCTTTCTGCTGAGTCCTGAGCTCCATCTGGGGCTCTGTTTCTGTTTGTGTGTGTGTGTATGTGTAACTAGTGTACATGATTTTGTTGGAGTTGTGTGCCAGGAAGCCAGATAGGTGTCTGTCCGTTGTTAATTCAGCATACTGACATGGACCTCCTAAGGTTAGCTGTCCATCAGATGTTAATTCATCTGGGATGGAGGCTATTCTGTCTTTCAACAGTTTCTGTCCCTGTCATCTGCATAGCATCTTTAGCATTAAACTAACTTTAATCACCTCCTGATCTCTTAACCTTTTTCTTCCACTGGTGGTAGGCGTTAACCACAGTATGATGTTGATACATACATTATCAAGGTGTTTCCATTCTTCTGCCCACTCTCGATCTGTAAGGCGATGGTCGATCACCTCCTCTTGGCGAGCTCCATGCACTGCTGCGACAAAAACACACAGGACGGAGCTCTGTCAGTCTGCTTTATGATACATACTGTAACTAAAATCACCTTGCCTTGTAATAAATTGAGAATTTGCACTGTCCAAATTAATTTGAACAAAATAACTGGTGGAATCATTGGCTAAGAATTCATCTTTTTGGGAAAGCAGAAGAAAGGCAGTTGCAGCACATAGGTATGTACAGCTGTAGGCTTTATATAAATGCACTGCCACAAGGATTATCACAATGGACTGACAACTGGCCTTTCTTCTCCACAAACACCCCTCTTACATATGCACAAGCCCACCCATATAACTGTGGGCTCTGTGGCTGTAGATCTATAGATACAGTATATCTGGCCACATGATTGCTTTGCAGCTGTTTTACCTGTCTGCCGGTGCCTGTCACGGGCATCACGGTGTTCATTATGTCTGTAAGCGTCTCTGTATTGGTGTGCCAGGGCCATGTCTTCTAAACGATAGTGCTGGGGTCCCACTTGAGGGTTGGGTGGGTGGGACAGGCCATTGGGAGGGTGTGTGGGAAGGCCGTTAGGAGGTGGGTGAGCAGGAAGACCTGTGCTGGGACTGAACCGTTGGCTGGGACTTATGGTGCACGGCCTCTTAGCTAGGTGCTCTGAGTGCAACTCATCTCGCTCTGAATTGTCTTTGGTCCTGTATTGGAAGACAGGAGACTGAGTTAAAACATGACTTAATTTCAGAATACTCTGTTGCTGCTTCTAAGCAATATTACATCTAGACTGGAGTTAGAAATGTATAGTGGTGTGATTTAAAATAATGTGGTGGCTGTTGCATAAGAACCTAAAAATTCTAAATTTGTTTAAGACTGTGTTTTGAACAAAAAAATTATAGCGTTAGATAATGCCAGTACCTAACATAATAAATACATGCAATACAATTGAAATTTTAAAAGTTGAACCACAAACTGGGACCTACAGCTTTTTTCTATGGTGGGAAGTGTGGTATATTATAATCTACAGCAAAGCTAATCTTTGGTACACCATTTATCTTTTATTTATTTTAGTTTATTTGGCAATATGCAATGATCTTGCACAGACAACATCTCCTGAGCTCTGTTTCCACTACCACATGTCCCATTATTCAACAAATGTCTACCTAAAAACTGATTCAGCTGCTTAAGATAAATGCTGGGCCAATCAGTTTCTGATGCTAACTCTGTAACGGCAGAGTTTGTGCTTCATACCTCATCTTTATCCAGCTAATCTATCCATGCCTTTGCCAGAGCTCAAATGAGTAATGTTAAAAATGTGAGATGGCTTTGCCAGGCTAAATAAGCAATGCCAGTGTATTACTTCATAGTTAAGGGAAATATGCTCTAGCAAACACTAGAATGCAAGACCAGAATGCCCTTAAAATCACAGCCCCACAATATCACATCCTTAACATATATATATATGTATATAGAATGCATAGTGAACAAATTATCTTTCACATGAGAAATCACAGCTCACTATAAACACTTATAAAAATTTCTTTTCAAAAATCACAGCATCTAACATGGAATATAAATTTCAACTCCCATCTGGTATATACAAACATGCATTCTCACACACGTGTGTCTATGTGTCCCTGCTGAGAGCTGCGTGTTGTTCAGTTACAGTAAGGCATTGCCCTTCCAAAGCTTTTGCACAGCTGTACACCATATGTATCAAACAAAACCGAGTCCAACTGTACACCACATCTCAAGCACTTATCCCTCCGCCTACTATTAGATTGCAAGTATTTCTCCTTGCTCCCGCCGACTCTGCTCTTAAGCTTAAGGGACAATATGGCCTGAATGTTGTGTGTTTGGCAGATGTTTAGTGACACTCATTTGTGCCTGTGCACTTTAAGTGACTGTGTGTGCGTGTGTGTGAGAGGCTATGTTTTTGAGCCATCTGGACAGTTTAAAGGGGAGTGTTGATATTAATCTGTTAGTTGGATGGCAATAACCAGGCTTTCGGATGGAAGTCATTCTATATCTTCCTGTGGATCAAAGGCAAATTAATGCTACACTGCCTCATGTAGATGTGTGTTTTCTTGGTTATTCATGTGTATGTTTGTGCAGGTCAGCTATATTTGTGCGTATCCCAGGCTCTAGTATCTCATAGATTAGTTGAACAGCTGGCACGACATAGGTCTTGCCTCAGCTTGAATCCCCAGCCCCTCCACAGAATCCCGCCTGCTGTGTATACGCAAGAGGTCAGGAGGTAGAGGTGTATGGTTTACAGTGGGATTGCATACTCAATTCCAAGCCCTATTCCCATTCAAACCACCATCACCCACATCCCTACACCCTGTTCGGGATGTGCTCAGCGTTATGGTCATCATATCACCATATGGACACATGCCTGACATATGGACAGCTGCTGGAAGTCCACAGATCAGACAGTTGGTGAGAGGGAGTGAGGGAGCAAGTGGGAGAAGTGAAGAAGTGACCAGAAAAGCACAGTGCCAGGAAAAGAAAAAGGAGAAATAGGAAGAAAGAGAAATGCCAGTTAGTTCTCTAGATCTGCCTTCTTTCACCTGCTCAATATCGCCAAAATCAGGAGCATCCTGTCTCAAAGTGATGCTGAAAAACTGGTCCATGCATTTGTTACTTCCAGGCTGGACTACTGTAACTCTTTACTATCAGGATGTCCCAAAAATTCCCTAAAAAGCCTCCAGTTAATCCAAAAAGCTGCAGCCAGAGTACTGACAGGAACTAGCAAGAGAGATCATATCTCTCCCATATTAGCTTCTCTCCACTGGCTCCCTGTAAAATTCAGAATAGAATTTAAAATCCTTCTCCTAACATACAAAGCCCTTAATGACAAGGCTCCATCTCAGTTCGGGAGGTGGACACCCTCTCTACATTTAAGATTAGACTTAAGACTTTCCTTTTTGATAAAACTAGTGGTTAGGGTTGGATCAGGTGACCCTGAGCCTTCCCTTAGTTATGCTGCTATAGGCCTAGGCTGCTGGGGGGGGGCATGATGCTCTAAGTTTCTCTCCTTTCCTCTCTCTATATGCCTCATCTATATGCCACCATTACATGTGTGTCTCCTCTCTCTCATAGTGTGTCCTCTCTCTCTCCCTGTACCTTTCTATAGGTATCCCTGGCTCTGGAGCTTTACGTTTCTGATGAGCCTCACCAACCTGAATTGAAATTCTCTCTTGTGTCATCTTCTTAGCCGGGGACTGGGGAGAAATTTGAGACAAATTTCTCTGTCTTTGGGTTGTGTGGAGGACATATACCATGGGGGCAGCTGTGGCTCAGGAGGTAGAGCGGGTCGTTTCCTAACCGGAGGATTAGCGGATCGATTCCCGGCTTGTCCTGTCAACATGTCGAAGTGTCCTTGAGCAAGGCACTGAACCCCTATTTGCTCCCGGTGATGTCACCGGTGTGTGAATGTGTGAGTGTTTGAGAGTGCAAATGGGTGAATGGCCGAATAATGTGAAAGCGCTTTGAGTGTGCTGTAAAAGCGTAGAAAGGCGCTATACAAGTATAAGACCATTTACCATACTTCACTCACATATCTCTTCTCTGGTTCCCTTTCTCTTTTGCTTCTCAGCCTCTCACTTTCTTTTCCTACTTTGCATTTATAGTATCTCACCCCTCCCTATAGCCAACTAGCAGAGCCAGCCTGGCACTGGGGCTGCCCAGACTTCTGCCTCCCACACTAAGATTTATAGCATCCCCTTGTCACTTGGCATTATAAAATATCATGAAATAATTTATTTATAACACTGTGTGAGAGGTTGTCAATGTAAGTGAACCTTTGAGGTCTGTGCCTATGTTTTCTCATATATTAATGGTGAGATGCTACTACCTGTCAGGGGTCCTTCTCTTGCCATGCTCATTCATCTCCAGCATGATCTCGGAGGAGTCAAGGGGTGAGCTGGCATTGGCGTCCAGGAGAAGCTGCTCATGTTGGGCCAGATATTGAGCTGGAGTCTGTTTGGCCAACCTGGCACAGTGGAGCAACTCTCTCTGCAGCAGGGGTAAGTTTGCCTTGAGGGAAGACAGACATCTTTGGATTAGGAATGAAATAAATTGTTGTAGGAAGGATGCCAATTTACTAAATCAATGTTAATGTAGAGGGATGTTGCAGGGACAAGAGGTGAGGTACAAACTCATAGTGGAACAATAGATAGATGAGGTGAGAATGAAATGATGTCAGATTAGAGCAAGAAAAAAAAAGGAAGTGATAGATGGAAAGACAGGGTGAGATAAGACAGGTCCCTTGACACATTCCTCTGCCTTGTGTGTGTGTCTCTCCAGGGTGTGCTGATGTGTATATTGTATGTGTGTGAGTATAGTATCTGTTTCCATGTGTGTGAAACAGTGCTGTCAAATAGCTCTCTCAGACCTGTCTGGTTGATATAACACAGCCATAGCTGCAATGTTCCAGATGTGGAGGATCATTGCACGCCAGGAGGTCTGACACGCTCACAAAGCACACACCACTTTTAACAGACATTCACAGCACACCCTACTGTTTTCTATGCATTACTGCAAGTAGTATACACAATATACACTTATAGGTTTCTAGTGAGGATATGGTTGGCCTCCCTGTGTCCTCCTAGGTATGAACCTTTTCATACCGAGAATTGAAGGTATCATAGAGGACTGGAAAACATATCTGGACAAACACAACAAATTCTGTGCTTGTCAAATGAAGACATCATGGTTCATTTGTCTTATATCTGTACATTGACATTTACCTTCAGGAAGGGAATGACGAACGGCCTCAGAGGGAAGTTGGTGGCCTCATGAAGTTTGGAGTGAAACTCTTCAATAGTGAGAGTGGAGTTCTGTCAAAGACAGCAGTGATAGTAGGACAAAGTGAACACAGGGATCACTAAGAAGAAAAAATATATAACCCTCTCTTATGGAACCATCAAAGTTATTCCACATAAATATGCAATCATTAAAACTTACCACCAGCCCTAACACAAGACTGCGCACTCGCTCGCCAATCTCAGGCGATATGTCATTGCCAAACTGCTGCAGTGTTGTCAGGAAGCGCTTCAGCTTACAGAGCTGCCGGGCACCACAAGCTGGCGGGAGCTGCTGGTTCGACAGTGAAGCTGTCGAGGACATGGCAGGCCCATTACTGAAGCCGTTTGGAGTGGACGGAGCACCGTTCAGCGATGTAGGAGAGTGGCTGCTCCCATTCAGCACTACAGATAAATAGACAGGAGGAAAAGACCACATAAATTGGGTCAGTAGTTATGGAAGGGTCTGGGGAGCATCTGACAGATCTTGGGGCACAATGAGGACATAAGCACTTATATCCTGCTGACAGAGGAGCGTACTGTTAAGATTAAATATAAGTAAAGCATATGATAGACTCAAATTAGACAATGCTGTACAATTTTCTGTCAGTTTGACTGAGCACTCTGTGTGTTTGCAGTAACCTCTCACAAGAGGTACCATGTGACCCCACCTACCCCTGCCATCTCCCCCTGTGTCCCTCTATTTCACTCTATTCCTCACCCTCTGCTCCTCACTCACTCACTAGGACACAACTATAAGAGGAACTTGTTAAAGAGGTGCCAAAAATAGTCCTGTGGCCCATGTTACTTTTATTCCAGTAGCAGGTGTGTAGCCAAATCTGGCTCTGCACATGTTCACCAGCTGAAAGTAGATTTGCAGCTTTAAGGTTCAGAATAGACACAGCATTGAAATACATATATCATCACTTATGTATTGTTCTTAATGGATGGACAAACAAACTTACACAGGAGCTCACACACTCACATTTGACCTTTGTCCTGTTTTCACATTTTCATAGAGAAGCCAGATGACACAAAATGCATGCAAAGTACTATATCATCACTCTAAGTTTTTTGACTTATATGTCAGAAAAGACACTAAAGCCTTCTTTTTCTGTCTGTTCTGTTTATTGTAATTGGATGCTTTTTACTGTATATGCATTGACATGCTTTATATCTGTGTTTAAATATTTACGCATGACAAAATGTAACATGTTTTTTTCTCCAATTTAGCATACACAAAGCTCTTTGAAATATATTTACCCATAATTAAATGTCTCTATTTCATAACAGCATATATAAGCACTTGCACTGAGCAGAGAACCCAAACTATAATTTTATTGCCATTGCAGCATCTTAATCTTTTCGAGATGTATTTACAGGATTCCGCGGTGAGCTGCTGTAAACTATAACATTACACACTGTCCTCGTACTTGTAAACAAGACGATATACCTTTAAGTTGTTCAACAGTTTAGCTCTCAGGCATGCTTGTTACTCTAATTTGAGGACTAACCCATGAGATCCCAAGAGGCAGCGCTTGTGTTCTAGTTTTAGAGAGAGGAAAGGTGCAAGGAGAAGGCTACACTGCTGAGCCACAACAGGTGAAACAACATGGCCTGTCATTGCTATATAGGGAAGAAAGTGCTCTACACACCACAACGCCACCCGGGTTGATGTCCTCAGTACACACCACCGCACAATGGCAAACAGCACAAGTACACATGCACACACAATACCACAGTCACAATTACACATGTGCTCAAAGACACTTGTTCTACCAGAAAGGGCATTCTGCACACCACAAGACACACATAGATAGATGCCTGCACCTGATGTGCAAGTGACTTCCACACTTGTTCACCAGAACAGCATAGCAGAAGAAAGACATTGGAATTTGGAATAGTTGGAATTTCCCATCCTTTACACAAGCATATGAAGTGGTCATGACAGTTGGCCTAAGAGGGACAAATGCCTGTCCATTGCAGATGTCCTCTGAGGTGTCTCATTAGTGTATTGATGGGTGTAAGATGTTATTTTCTGTGTAGTGTACAGTCATGGCCAAAATGAAAAAAGCATTTGTATTTTTATTTGACAGTGGAGAGCTGAGAACAGGAAACACACTGAGAGAGAGAGACACACATAATGGGATGCAGCACAGGTCTCTGACAGGAAAGAAACCAAGGACCTTTGGATAACAGTATATTAGGGCTGTACCTGACTAAAGATTTTGTGAGTCGACTGTCAGCTCTTTAGTGCAACTATTCGACTATTCGTTTTTTGCTTTCTTTCTTTTTTAAATATATATAGCCTCGACTGTCAGAAAATCACCTGGCATTAAGTTCAGTGATGATTTTGACTACATTAACATCCTTATTTAAATGCAGAAGAGTAATGGGAACATATATATGAGCTTTTAAAAATCAATAAAGGCAACTGCAAATCATGAAAGTTAAACTGACAGTATATAATCTCGAGCTGCCGTATGGATTTGTTAGAACAACGAGACAAGTAGCTAGTACACTTGTATTTCTGTAATGCTCTGATAGGCATTTTTTTCCTTCTGAGACATGGTTATAGCTTAGTTTACCAACAGGTTTAAGCTTCTCCTGTCAATTAACCACAGCACATGTTGTGACTGTGTGTTCGATGTGTGCCAGCTCGCACTGCGAATGATTCCTCTTATTTATAATTCCTCAATGAAATGTTTGATAAGCAGAAGACAACAAACTACCAGCTGCTGGCTACACTGGCTGACAAAAAATAAAATTTAATAAAATAAAAACAAAGGCTGGACTAGAAGAGTCTCAATGGACTGACAGGTCTCTCGACTAATGACTTGACTATTTGACTATTAGGAGACAACCCTGCAGTATATAAATGCTTCTTTACCTCAAGACCATTGGTTGCCCCAGTTTATTTACAAACTCTGTGCTTAGATACACATGACATAACATGGCTATCTTTTGTAAATGCATATACAGTATATTTCACAGTATGAAGTTGACATAATAAGAATAATAATATACTTACTTGATTTACTGGTGGTAGGGGTAAATGAAGCAGTGCGATTGGTTGCTTGGCTAACAGCCGGGGGTGGAGGAGGCATAGTAGGTGGGGTGGACCTGGGCTGGGTTTTCACATCTGCAGGTGAATCTGGCATTGTTCCAACCTTCTGCACTCTGCTATCTGTGACATGAAAGGAGAAACAGAAAGAGAAATCAGGCTGTCATCAAGATGGGGCTCTAGCATAAAAAAAAAAATGTGAAGACAGCTGGTTCAGGAGGAGAGCACTGACATTTTCACCTGGGAAACATCGATTGTTTCCTTAAACCAAATGCCCCATAAAAAGAACCAAAACGAATCAATGCAGGGAGTGGAAATGCATCCAAACTTGTATTGCGTCTCTCTTGTTGGAGAGCCATGGGCCTGGGAGATACACAGAAACACCTGCTCACTCACTCAGCTGCTGCTGACTGACTGAGATGCCCCCCAACACACACACAGACACACACACACACACACACACACACACACACATACATACTCCATGTAGTTCTGACATCCCAATCAGTGGCCCTCCACTGTATTCTCCAAACCCCAGACACACATTCACATGCACACTCTTTTTCCTGCCTGTCCCCTCTCGTCTCCTAGTTCAGACAGCCGGCTTGACAGCCAGTAACAAGTGCAGCTGGATCTGCTGCTGTCCATCACTGTGACTGACTTTCAGTAGAGGTCCGTCCTGCTACCGGAGGTTCCACTGTCCTCTGCCAGACACCCTGCCAGCACCAAACAAGGCAAGGCTAGGCTCTGTAGCATGAAGTGAATGGATTTTTACAGCAAGGCACATGAGAAGAAAACATGACACAGGGTGGCTGTGCCATGGCCACATGCATGTCTGAGGAATGTTACTTTACATTCTCTATTTATGGCAGAGGGCTTCATGCAGTCTGTACATACAGCGTGTCTTCTACAAGAACACCGTGATACACAAAATCACATTCACTGGGTTAGACGATATGCTGTAAATATACTATATACTGCCTAGTGCATACACACACAGCAGGTCTATTATTGTTGTATCTGTGGAGTGTTGACCGTCTGTCTGTCGGTGCAGCTGCTGTAACTAGATCCATCTGCAATATAAACCTGAACTGAGAGGTATGATGACTTTTGCAGCCTGTGAGAAGATAACTTTTATGTATGTGTGTACTGGCAGAGAGTGAAATACATGCAAAATATGCAATGAAAAACAATAAAATCAATATTCAGCACAGTTTATATACAGTATTACTACAAAAGTGTGTGCTTTTCTGTTTGACTACTACACACCTCTTTTATGTAAAGTGCGTGTTTGTTGAGAATGAAAGAGAGAGGATCCTTTTCTTATAGTCTAGCAAACCACTTTGTTGACTTTATGTAGCATTCACTGACTCTTAATAACCCTATGCATCCTCTCTTCCTCTTGTGTTCTTTTTCTCTCTTTCACTTCTTTCTTAATGTATAAATGAAAAAGGAAGAAAACATTACATTGCTTAGAAATGAACTTAAGTTATTACAAGATCTTTTACAAATTTACTAAAGCCTAATTCTACAGCCTCATAAGAGACTCGTGACAGAGAGCAGAGGCCAGTGCTAGAGTGGATCTGTCATGAGACTCCACTTAGTAGCCAGTGATAATCTCTAAAACATCTAATAATAAAACATAATATAAATACTGCTGCACCAACACCACTTTTGAGGTGGAATATCCAAAGTCCTGCTCTGGCTTTTATGCATCTTTACAATGGTCTGAAAACCAGTTTATGGTTGCAGTCTAAATGCATTGTCACCAACTAACATTAAATCTCTGGGGCCTCAGTTGGCCTCCTTCCTTGGTGTTAGCCTATTTTAGTGAGCACATGTAGAAGCGTTCAGCAGCTGGTGTCTGTATTTAAAGAGTGTCACTCTGGAGGGTGCTGTATGAGGGCCATTGATACAGTGATCCTCGAGAACACGAGGGGCACTCCGCTGTTTGGCCCGTGCCAGACAATCTGAACATAAACACACAAGGTTGTAGATAGAGGCAGGCTGGCTGGTATAAATAGATACAGCCATTCTCAACACATAAACAAGCTCTCTGTGCTGCTGAATTGGTGGACTGCTTCTTGTAGGGAGACAAGCTTATGGTTCAGTAAACCTTCTGTTTGACCAAATTTACTATGCCACTGCAAGCATTTTGTAATTGTAGGACTTACAGCATACACTTAACAAAATAGATAAATAAACATAACTAATTTTACAAGAATATTTTGTGAATGTAATTTAGTCAGTTTGTCAGGTCGACAAGTCTGAAGCTACAGCTGTTCTCAAATTATCAAAAGCTAAACCCACATCTGATCAAAAGATCAGGTCAGTGATATAAAATCAAAACTCTTTCAAAACATCCTCTGTATACGACTGTAAACTGTGTACATCTTCTGTTACTTTTGTCACATTCCAAATAGGAGAGGAGCGGATGATAAAGAGACCTCCCCGCCTGTCTGTCTGCTCCCACCATGGGATTATAGACAGCTGTTTAATCTGACCAGCTAGAAAGACAAGGCATACACATATGCACCATGCGCTGGATTTCACTTTTAATACATTAGGAAGTCTGCTAGGTCTACAACCCCATCTGTGGCCATCTGTGCGCCCATCACGGTTTGTGCTGAAGGACAACACACTTGTGCCAAAAGAAGCATAAAAAGAGAGACTGGTATACCAGGAGAGAGTAAACTTATGGTTAAGCTTTGAGTCTGGAACATGCTCCTGTCCGCAAGGAGCATAAATGGATTAAGAAAAAACAAGCAAACAAACAAACAAAAAAAACGGTTTTTATCTGAGCCTCAGGGAGAAGCTTCTTTGTGATCTGTTCAAAATACAGGCTTATGTTGCTTTCTGTCCAGAGCACTCACTACTAAATATTATGCTGAAAATAAAACCAAAATTTAAAAAATATTGATAATCATTACCGATCCCTCTGCCACTGTCTGTCTGTCTCAGTTTTGCTGACTCTCTGAACAGCTATATGTCAGCACATCTGGTGTAATAGGAGCTAAAGGTTTGCTCACCAAAGAAACAGTCTGCATTTTAACTTCTAAAAATGTTCTGTCTCCTACTCTCCCCTTGTGCCATGATGAAACAAAATGAAAACAATTCACTGAGACACACACAAAACCATAGATAACAAATTGCACACACAGAGTGCTGTGGTTTGACGAACTTTCTAAAGTCACTCTGGGGTCTCATTATAGACTTAAGGACATATGCCTTCATTAAAGCCCCCTACAACAAACATACACAAACAAGCCATTAGAAGGCCATTCAGATGCTGGCAGTGCATTTGGCCTCATTTCACTTTGGCATATGTTTGTGTGTTGACTGTATACATATCTATGTGCTTGTATGACCATGTGTGTCTGTGCTTCCACTGGAAATGCAGCTGCAACTTGTTAGCTTTAGCTAACCGCTGCATAACTGTCTCCTTAAATCCGCCCTGTCTATTCAATCAGCCCCACTCCGCAGAGACTCTTGTCAGTGACCACATAACCCTAAAACTCTCCCTGTCTCTCTCGCTCCTTATATCCCTCCCTCGCTCTCTCCCTCTCACTGTAATTCCCCCAGTCTCCAGGAATGCTGTTGTTTTTAATTTCTCCCAGCTGCTCTGGCAGGCTGCCCGACCGCCTGCCTTCCCACATCTGTTCCCTATCAAGCCGCTGAGGAGTCCACACAAACAGAGCCTGAGACCCTGGCCCCCAGCCCCCCACCAGGCCTTCATAGCAAAACATGGGGATTATAACCCTGTGCTCTGGACCTAAGACTTGGTACATGTACCTATACACCACTCTTCACTCGCATACCACCAGCACAAACGCTAATCAAAGTAAAGAGACTGCTGACATCAGTAGCACAAGACCAATATGTCTGCTTTTCATGCGTCCCAGTGCAATCGACAATAGACCGTTTTCCTTCTGTGTGCCTACTATTTCAGTGGGTCGATATATGTGTCTCAGGTAAAATGGGTGTGTGTGTATATTTGTGTGTTAGCACACAGCCTGCTTCTGCAGACAGACACCAGACTCCTCTTCATCTTAAACTGATTTAGAGTTCAGAGGCTTTAAAGTCCTCACTAATGACAGGGTGGGAGACATGCCCGTACAATGCGTGCGCATGCACACAAACAGACACACAGATACACGCAAGTTTGCAGAATGCGTATGCTCATGCTGCGGACACAAACACATATTTTCCCTTATGTTACTTGAGAATCTCTGTGATAGTACACATGCAGGGCCGGCTGAATAAACATGCTGAACAAAACCCCAACGGAGGGTTGTGGTGGTGGTGTGTCTTTGTAAAAAGCACTGACAAAAGCCATCCTGTCTTTGATCGGACTACTGTAAAATCAGTAAATCCTTGACCCAAACTCATCAGTTTTTCAAAGCCAAAAGATTGACCACTTTGTTCAAATGAGTAACCTGGCAAGAAAAGTAATGATAACTTGAGGACAAGCATGGAGTAAGGGTAAATTAAGGACAATTTATCCAGAGCCAGAGGTGCTAAGGGTAGAGGAGTCATATTTCTGTATCTCTGAGCTGTAGGGATCCTGTCATACAGTGCTTATATCTGTGAAAGCTGTTACTGGTGTAATTGTATTGAAGTTCTAGAGACCATCTGTTCTCCTTTGGGAGGGCCTGGCTCCTCTCGTCGGCAGTGAAGTGGTTATGTTCAGCATATCACTGCTGCCGACATGCTCACAGAGAAAAAACTTCCTTTTCAGATTTTCCCAACGGCTGCTAATAAAATCCAGATGCTATACTGGAGCTGTTTCTGCTTCACTCCCTCATGTTCTCTCCTCCCTCTTCCATCTTTCTTCATCTCATCTCTTACTCCCCCCTCTTTATCCTTCACCCCTCTTCTTCTACATTGCTAATCATTTATTTGCTCTTTTCATCTACTGCTCCTGCCTTCATTCCCTCCTCCCCTGATACTTCATCCATCCTCGCCTCCTTCATTCTCTCCAGCCGCTAACCCAGAGCCATTCCTAAATAAAGGAAAGTATTTGTGACATTAGCCTGAGGCTGGCTGTGCCAAGAACAACTCCCTGGCTAGCCAGACACATCTGGAGTGTGTTAGGACTAAACTGGGCTCTGGTACCAACACTG